GGTGCTTTGTCTTATGTAGTTGAAGAAAGGCTTTGGGTTTTCTCCTGCACAGTTTAAAAGATTACACTTGAAGTCTTGGCGGGCTTTGTAAACAAGGCACCTTAACCTATTCCTTGATTCGATTGTCTTATCCCTGAGATAATCCTTCCGCTGTTTCGCTTACGATTTTATCCACCCTTTAGTGTGCTGTCTAGCAATCGAGGCCTGCTGGTGCTTTTCGCTTTCGATATAAGGCAGTATCGTGTGATAAGGTCATGCAATACGGCGTTCAGTTCTAACCAGTCCGTGAGAATACACGCCGCGAATGTTGCTTTCCAGTCTATAACGACGCACGTCGAGATGCATTTGGTTGAAATCTGCACACCATATGTTGCGTCTGATCACGATGCTTTGATCGGGTACAGAGAAGAGAGATTACTCTCACTGTAGGACTACGCGGTCGCGTTTTCCGAGAGCGGGTAGACATCAACGCTTTCAGGCTCTTTTGTCAATATAAGAGATAAGCAGTTAGCTAGTTGTTCCTCACGTAGTCTGGTTGGAGATGATACGTGTTTTATGAGGTGTGATCTTTGCACTGCTTATAGGAGGCGGCGATCGAAGTTAAATTCGAAATCTGGGGCAGAAGTCAGATTCCAGTCGATATTCGGAGCGTTAAAGTCGCCCATAATCATGACGTTGGGTCGGATAGAAATCGCTTCTATTACCTCTATCAGACTACTCTCTGATTGCGGGTCGTTCCAAGGTGGGCGGTAGACCGTCAGGATCTCGAGAGCTTGTGACTCCGGCGTTTTGATGGTAAGCCAAATTGTCTCAGTTGTGCGTGCAAACTGCCCCCCCTTTTTCTGAATTTTAACAATCATCTGTTTCACCAAAAAAACGCAGTGCGCCGACGTCCGATTGCAAATTCTTTGCGCCGTCAACACCTGTAACTTCACTCCATATTTTCAAGTTATCAGCAAACACGAGGGCTTCACAGCGCAATCATCTACCTAAATCAGGAATAGAAGATTATTGAACGTATGACATTATAACACCCTAACCAATGCAAAGGTGCCAACTTCAGAGACTGCGTGCATCAGTGGTCGCTGTCTAGAAATCTATTACACTAACTGTCAGAGTCTCCTCAACAAGTTAGATAAATTCAGAGTACTTGTCTCTAAACATAAGCCTCACATAATTGTCCTACAGAGGTATGGTTGATTGAGGAAATAAGTAGCAGTGATGTCAGTATTGGAGGCTACCAACTGCTCCGTTGTGACAGATTTCAACGTAGAGGAGAAGGCACAGCAATTTATGTGTCAAGTGAAATTGCCTGCTGTCAACGAGAAATTTCCGATGGTGCGCCGCGAAATTTTGAAATAATTTCATGCGATATATGTATAAAACAACTACCGACACTTAACCTGTGTGTTGTCTACCGGCCTCCCAACTCGAGTGAAATCGCCGATATGGAAGTACTTAGTGCACTGAGGTTGTTATGCAAACAGGAGAACTTACTACTTCTGGGTGACTAACGCTCCAGGTATGGACTAGAAAATTTCCTTAACAAACGCCCCGTACACGTCACTTTACCAAAATCTACTACAACTGTCTCTGAATGAATACCTCATTCAGCACCTAAAATTTGGAGCAAGAATCAGAGAAGGAAAACAATCTAACTGTTTAGATCTCGTTTTCAGTAAAAAAAGGATTCATAAGGGAAGTGAATCCACAACCTCCTGTGTGTGTTCTCTCCTTTCGATCCACCAACCAAAAATGAAGATGCGCAGAAATATTTGAAGGGGTCACTTTAACACAATGAGGCGTACTCTTTTGAAGGAATCCTGGTTAGTCAAGATGGTAGATTTAGAAGAATTCTGACAGTACTTTTGCGGGATTATAGGGCGTTTAATTGACTCCAATTGGCTAATAAAAACAACAAGACCATGTGCGCGACCGCCGTGGGTCACACCGATGACAAAAAAGACCATGAAGAAGAAACAGAGACTGTGGAAAAAGTATTTGCATCTTCGAGATCCGATATCATTCACAGAATATAAAGAACAGCACAATGAATGTCGCTGCCCACCTGCCGAAAGAATGGAACACCGCGAACTCGTCCTAGAACTGAGAACACGACTAACCATCGGAGAACAGAACTTGGTAATCTACAAAGAACAGATAGTAAAACGACATTCGGCTCCCTTGTAGATCAAGCCGGTCTGAATGACCTCACAGAGACCCCTGTAGCCTCTGCCGAGGTTGTAAACGAATCTCTTATGAATTCGAAATTCGCATTCATGTATACTAACGCGAGAAGTATTCTTTCGAAATTGAATGAACTCCGAATCCATATATGCAACCACCACCCAGAAGTTATCTCCAGAACAGAAACATGGTTGATAATAGGGAGTTCATGCTTCCAGGATTTCAACTGTTCCGCAGAGACAGAGAAAACAAAAGGGTTGGAGGTATAACAACACTGGCTAAGAATGGCTTGAACGTTTCAGGAAAAAGTGCTAAATTGACTTGAAGTACGGAAGCATTAAGGCTGACAATAAGAGCACCGGGCTCTCAAGGCCTCGGCATCATGACAGTATACCGGCTCCCGAGAAATGTCCCTGATGCTGATGCCCAACTGATGGATGAGCTCAGATTATTTTCAACGCAGCAGAATACTCGCATCATTGGGAACTTTAATGCACAACATATCGACTGGAGCTCGGCCTCCGCTAACTATAATGAAACGGCATTCGACCGGCAGCTACTGCGTACCACCCACAATCTGCTTTTTACCGAACGCTGAATGTTTCTGACGAGATTTCGTGAGGGTCAGAAAATGATTTACCTCGATCTTGTGTTCTGTAGGTCGTCTGATAACATCAACATTGTGAACTGGCACTGCCAATTGGATCACATTGACCATGTGGTTCTCATGTATAACCGCTTGATTTTCGATCCAATATTGGGCGCGGCGATTTCGAACAGATGAAAAAGGAGCTTCGTCCTATCGACTGGGCATCCACACTCATACGCAAAAGACCAACGAATGGACTCCGCTGGTCGATTCCGTCCCTAAAGAACGAAGTTAGCATGAAGAATAAGCTATAGAAAAGATCGGACCGGCCGCCAGAAAGTCTAAAAGTTTTAATTTACAGATAAATTTGGTTAAGATTCTAATCGTTAGAGGTCAGCAAGTCTTCGAAAAGGATCTTTTGGACTGTGCCATGGTAAATCACAGAGTCCTTTACAGTTGCATAAGGCGCTGTAGTGGGAACAAAGATCTTAGCCCACTGTTGCGAACAGCCGACGGCGCGGAAATCTCAGATGACAAGGATAAGGCTGAACACCTGTCTTAGTTATTCCAGTCCGCCGTAACGAGTGAACCCGAATTCCCCCCTCACTTGTGCAGAGTAAGAAACGCCTGCCATTGAAGCAGTCTTTTTAACTGAAGCAATCTTTCAGAAAGAGTTGTTAAACCTGAAGAAATCGACCTTCTCGGTCCCTTATGCAATCCGGGCCAAGCTGATGAAAGAGTTAGCCCCCGAAATGTCCAAACGTTTAGCCTTGTCCTTCCGAACGTCATTTGTTTCTGGGTGTTTACCCTCCCACTGGAAGTCCGCTACCATCACTCCGCTTTTTAAGGGTGAATGTCGTGCGTCTGCGACTAACTGCAGAATGGTGAGTCCTGCTTCCACTTGTTCCGAAATCATGGAAAAAGTCATTAAGAAAGCATTGATACAGGTTCTTGCGCAGCATCACCTTATCTACGATGCCCAGCAAAGCTTTTAGAATGGTTAGTCCTCTCTCACAAATCTGTTCTTTACGCTCGAACGCTGGACCGAAGCACGCGATGAAGGCAATGCGTCGCACGCCATCTGCGTCGACTTCAAAGAGACCTTTCGACAGCGTTCCCCATCATCGTTTCTTGCACAAACTACGCGACGCAGGAATTCGTCGACACCTTCATGCTTGGGTCCAGAGCATTTTGACTGGATGATCCCAAATGGTGCAAGTTGGGTGCCAACAGTCCTCAGAGGTAAGCGTGGTGAGTGGCGTTCCACAGGGCTCAGTCTTAGACCACAAGTTATTCCTTGTTCTCATAAATGACGGCCTCAGGTACCTAGACAGTGATGTTTGCTGAGGACATAAAGTTGTGAAAAATTATTCACAATGCGGCAGACACAGACCAACTGCAAGAAAACATGAACAGGCTCGATGACTGACCGAAGCGCTGGCTTATGCCCTTCGATGCAATGCCTGTAAACTGGCATTAAGTAAAATTATTATTATTATTATTATTATTATTATTATTATTACTAAAGAGGCTCCAGCCCAGGACTTACTTTCTTCACGGCACACCATCGCAACAAGTAAACAGTCAGAAGGACTTAAGTTTGTGGATTAGATCTTCACCCAAACCAACCATGGCTACATTGCAATTCATTAGGCGTGCTTTTATGGGATTTGACACAGACAACTTTTCCAAAATATTTGGCACCTTCTTGCAGCGTCATCTGGAATACGCCATACAGTCATAGATGCCTTGGGTTGCCAAGGGCTATACAGTCTTGGAGGAGATGCAGAGACGGGCGACAAAAACGAGAAAAGATCTGAAAGCACTGCCCTATGAAGCAAGACTGTAAACTCTCAACCTGTTTCCCATTTCCTACGGGCAATTGCGCGGCAACCTTATACTAACATTCCGTATTATAAACGGCCCAGACCGCTGCTTAGATCCCAGTTATTTTCCCTCAAGCTAACACGCCCAGTCTGCTCGGTTACCTCCTAAAACTACGTGCAGACAGGGCACGTATCAATGGGCGAAAGTCCCTTTCAGTAACAGAGTGTTTGCAGCCTGGAATGTCCAGCTTATTGGAATTGTGCTCTTCTCCTGTTTGCCCTCATTTAAGTGTTAACTCGACGCGTATCAAGCTTTCCAACTATCAGCATATTCATTAGTTCAGAGAGATAGAAGACTTGCGCAGCGTCAATCGCGCTCTCTCTTCCTCATTCCCCGCATGGACCCGGTGTCAGGACAGAGTCGAAAAGACTGGAGGGAGAAAGTGGATTGCACGGTCGAGCCCTCACTTCGGTGTTCCACTTTACAGCCCCTGGTCCACGCAGGAAATGACCAGGTTTTTGAACTACAGCAGCAGCAGCAGCAGCAGCAGCAGCAGCAGCAGCAGCAGCAGCAGCAGCAGCAGGAGCAGCAGCAGCAGCAGCAGCAGCAGCAGCAGCAGCAGCAGCAGCAGCAGCAGCAGCAGCAGCAACAGCAACAACAACAAGAACGACAACACCCCAACAGGGGTCATAAGAGCACGGATGACGACTGGGCAGCCATGCCCAGCGCGCATCTACTTGAAGGAAACCCAATTACCAGCCACACATTCACACACAACCAGTCACCCGTTTTATACACCTACACTACTTACACCGAGCGAGCAACTGATAATGGTTGCACTTTCTCGACTAGCTGACGTCTCTCTGCCTTTCCGTACATTAAAAACATGTCCGAACTCGTTGAGGAAACACCAAATACGGGTGGCGCACAAACCGACGATCGCATTATGCAGCCAGCTTGTACACACTTAAGGTTGACTATTTAGATAAGAAACAAGTGGTCTACAGGATTTCGTGTGACACATGCAATGCAGTATAATGTGCTCAAACGGGAAAGCAGCCTCTACACATATACGAACATCAACTTGCCGTGAGGAGGCGAGAACGTTTGTCCCAAGTTGCCGTGTACACATTGGATACTGGTCATAAATTTGCTTGCGACAAGACCCGCATCGTTGGTGTCTGTCCGTTTAGAAAAAGCCGTATACTCTGGTGAATCATGAATTAACCGGTAAATTGATCTAGACACCATTTACAACAATCTCAGGAAAGATGAAAAAGGCCACAGTCAATCTACGTGAGATGCCAACCAAGGGCATGACTTATTGGCAGAAATTAAAGGATGGTATCAATTTTTCGCCCAAGTTAAAAATGCTTACTGTTTTGTATATTTGCTACAAATCTGAGGACGGCCTGGGAAACTGGTGTAGAAAATTTACAGAATAAAGTTTGTTGCTCTTCCAAAAGGACTTTCTAATTTGTTTTCTTGGGATGCCCGTCTTTCAATACGTGTAATTATGTACAAAATTTCTTTTTCATATTTCCACTTGTGAGCGTTATTCTCAACGCATTTGTAAACAATAGGGAGTTTAAAAGCGCTCCCCTGTATTTCCCTTAACAAAACTGAACTGAACTGAACATCTCGTCGACTGAAATGGGAGGTAATCGGAACACGGAAGGTTCGAAAACGAATTCGTGGGACGTGCCCACCGAATATCGTGAATGCTACGTAGGCTACTTAGGTCAGTATACTTTAAGTGCAGTAGGCAATGCCTTTGAAAACCCTATAAATGCCTTGTTGTGTTGACTCACTCTTTGTGGGCGCCTTTCATTCTCACCCCGCTGTTTGCGCTACGCTAATAGGTTATGAACGTTTTTCAGTCTTTTTGATTCGCCCTATTTCCTCTGCTTGCTATATCATCCCTTCCCAGTGATTCCAAATAGTTTGCTCCGTGGTGTTTATCGGGGATTCAATAGCTCACTGATTTCACGTCAAAGGAATCCCCAAAATGATCCACGTGATAGCTTGGCTGCATGCTGACAAATGCAGCATTGAAAGCTTCAACAACGACGGCGCTATCGGCGACGTGTTTGTTTTTCTGAACTACTGCATATGCAGAATTGAAGTTAAGGTCGTGTGCTAGCTGCCGGTAAGTTTAGTTACTATTTTTTCAGCCACAGAAGTCCATTTGCAGTAGTCACCCTCTGCTCGAAAATGTATTCTCAAAGCACATAAGAACGCTTCTTATCCGAAAGATTTTAATAACCTTGATGACTTTTTTGCGTCTATGCCTCAGACCAAAACATTATTTAGAAAGTGTATGGTACATCTCAACTGAACCTGGGATACCAAATGATGTTATTTTGCATGTATTTCGCCTTCATAACGCAGTAGGAAAAAGTAGCTTGGGTAACATAAATTTTCGAGGCACAGGTCGAGCATATGCAAAGGGGTTTATTAGCATTGAAGCTTTTAAGTGCCGATTTTGTCTATGAATAAATTAATTGGTATTTATGCCATGTTGGGGTGAAGACGAAAAACGGACTGAACATGGGCTCTGAACTGCAAATTGCGAATTTAATGGTTGTTCAGGCGTTATGCAAAGGTAGTAATGCAACTGTTTATGCACGCAGAAATCCACCGAGTTCTGCTCAAGAACGAAGAATACTAAAAACACTTTTTAAACTTAAAATGCCTTATTCACTTTATAATATATAGAACGCTTAAAGTTTATACGATGTAATATTTAAAAACATTTTAAACTTAATTGCAAGCCTAATTGCGAAAATCTTTCATTAACTCGTGTTATTATTATAGTTTCACTTTTTCAGATAAGCTTACATGGATTACCAGAAGGCCTTATGTTCCCTGCTGACGTTATTAATATTGGAAACCTGCAGTGCCGAACGGAAAAATACATACTCCGTCAAATTGGTTGGTTTCCCCGGCCAAGGCTATCTTCTGCCTTGCGAAATCGGATCAAACCGCCAGAAAGTATGTTGTCTGACAGTGCACTTTTGTAAATATCTCATGAACGTTTGTCTTACTCTGTTTGTATTGTAAATAAAATAAAAACTAATAGGTATCACTAATAATTAGGCACCAAGTCAGAGAAGCGATAAAAATTTTCCGCAAGCCTCGCACCTATCAAGTTTGGTCTAGCATAATGAACACTCTCCTTAATGTATATTTATATCTTCGTATTTTATGGAAGGTGTTAAACCAGACTCATACCCTTGTATTCACAAATGATTAACGAAGATATAATAGTTAGAGTGCTCATCAATATTTTTGAATAAACGAGCGCGTTCGAGGATGATTACCCTATAGCAGAACTATCCAGGTCATATGAGTGACCTAAGTAAAGCTCCTATTCTCTCCTTGTGACCAAACCTATATATATGGGCCGTTGGTTCATCTTAGAATCAAAACAGCCCATAAAATTTGGTTTATTCGGCAAAAATATTGGAAAAATGTGTTTAAAAATACATTCGGAATGTAATTTTGTGCAATGCTAAGGGAAACATTAAAATAAGATCCCTTTTTGAAAGCATGAGTCCAATACGTATTCATTATTTTAAAATAAATCCAGCTCCTTTTGAACGTTTACCACAATTATTTAATGTTCGTTCGGTCTGAAATAAGCATTTGGCGCTGCGTTAGCGGAGCACAATTTTCATTGGATGTCAGGAAGGAATGTATATTAGGCATTACAATTAGCCATACTTGACTTTAATGCATGAAATTAATATTTACTTGTTTATTGTATTGCTTAAAGTATAAAAAGTCGTAGAGCGCAGTAGTTTGGGAGCGAGCTGGATATGACGCGCTTCAAATTATACCAAATTCTGATAATTTCTGTTAGCCGCTAAAGGAACAAAACGGTTGGCATAAAAGTGGGGGATTCTGTCCCCAAATAAGTATCCATTTTATATCTTGAGAAGTTTTTATTTGGTTGCCTGAGCATCTGCTATGCTTACCCTCTGCATGTAGTTTTCTCATAGAAGCTAAAGAGGGCCAACGAGCTTCATATTATTCCTAACTTGCTTTCCAATTTAAAATACATACAATGGTAACGCTCCTAAACTCTCCTAATTTTTAC